CCAAGGGAACTCCCCCCGGCCCCCCCCCCCCCAAAAAAAGAGTTCGAAAGTTGAAGGGGGGGGCCTCCGAGGCAACGTTGTGTGGCATCGGTTCAGGGCCAGGGACGCATCGGCCCCCCCACCGCCCCGTCATCGCCGATGGGTACCCGATAGCCTTCCCCGCCCCGGAGCGTGCGGTGTTGCTATCGGGGGCCCTGCCGCCGATCTACCAGCGAGGTGTCGCCGATTCCAGCTCGATGCGTTCCCCCCCTTGCGCGGGTCCACCCTGAACGCTCCTCCTCCTCCCTCCACCCCTCCTCCTCCACCCTGAACGCTCCTCCTCCTCCTCCTCCTCCCTCCTCCACCCCTCCTCCTCCTCCTCCACCCAGACACCCGAGGTTTGGATTTCCCCAGGAGGAGTCCCCAGAGGGCCCGACCTCTTCCCCGGGGTCGGCTCCCCATCCCGAGTCGTTGTTGGGCGGCCCTGGGGCCAGGCGAGAGCCCAAAGGAGGCCGAGAACGACGCCCCGAACAGGTGTGGTAAAAAACACGTGAAACATGTGTGTACATATGTGTATGTCTATACATATGTACTTATGTATATATATACACACATATATCTATATATATACACACATATACATATATACACACACACATGTTGCTCATCCCACGCGTGTTTGTTTTATCACCGTGATTTATCACGCTTTGTTTTTATCACGCGTGCTCATCATGTTTGTTGTTGTATCACACTCGTTTATCACACGTTGTTTTATCACACGTTGTTTCATCACAGCTGATTATCACACTTGTTGTTGTACCACACTTGTTTATCACACTTCCTCGAAGAATGCCCACAAGTACTGTCTCAGAGGTTGGATGTCTGCGGTCAGGGACTCTGGGGGCTGGGCGTGCCGCCCCGCCGGTCCTGGCCCACCGCGCCCAAGGGGCGACACGCCAATCACGCCCCCAGGCGTCTCCTCCTCCTCCTCCTGCCTCCTCGCTCCTCCTCCTCCTCCCTCCTCGCTCCTCCTCCTCCTCCT